CTAAACCTAAAATGCATCACCAAATATACCTGCGGAGTCATACCATGTAAAATCTGTGTAGGAAACACTGCATTTCCTTTCACACAGCCAAAAATACAGACATGTAAGAAAGGAAGACTTCTTCAACAATGTCCTTTGGACAGGCAAGACCAGAGTGAAGATGTCGGGTGATAGTGGACAGCATCACCAACCACATCCTGTCAGTTGAAACACCGCACACCAGCTGTCAGCGCTGTGGCTGAGGGGTGATGATTTGGGCCCGTTTTGCAGCCACAGGACCCGGACACATTGCAGTGACTGAGTCAACCAAGAATTGAGGTGTTGCAATGATCCCGTCAAAGCCAGATATTAAGCTGGTTTAAATGATGTGGCAAGATCTTAAGAGAGCTGTTGAAGGTAGTTCTAACAGCTGTTGTTTTTAGGATTATCACAACTTATTATTGTTACATTTAAACTTGAAAAACTCTTTGTGCAGGAAACACTGCATTTCTTTTCAGGGATGCAGGCACGTAGTATATTCCATGAGTTTGGACTCGTCAGCTGGTATCTCAGAAAAGAGTTTTTAATGTGATTAACATTGTAACAAAGTCCACTTTACCACAAAAATAATCTAACAACAAATTAGACGAAAGCATAAGCATTGGGAGTTAAACCCCACTCTCCTGGAGTGGATCCTTGTGGATTATTAATGATGTTTTTCTATCACCTGGTGTTTCCATACTTTAATTGTGAAACTCACACAGATTTCAGCTCATTCAGTTTAACTGGTTGCTCCAGATGGCATTAAAAGAGAATTAACCATGAGTACTAATGGTGCACTCACGGTTAGCAGCTTGGTGGCCTTAAAAACACAGTTGGCCAACAAAAGATTATTACGGGTGAGCCAGCTTTCTCTGCACTGAGAGGAGATTCACTAAATGCATGACTGAACAGAGTAAATCTACAAAGCCATTTGAATTAGAGAAGGCTGGAAACATCTTTTATTCTTTGCTTCCAGTGTTCGATTTAGTTAGAGCTAATGGGCATAATTTATACATGAAACACCTGCCTGGTCCAGCACGGAGTAAACAGTCAGGGGAGGTGAGGTATGGACATCCGTGGATGCCTCCGGGATTTCAAAAACAGCAAGTCCATCTAAATATTTCCTGAGAGGACTTGAGAATTTATCAGTACCACTTACAGATTCAGTGATTATCAGATCTGCAGCTCACAAAATGAAACCTCCACCTGCACATAGTTAGCATCTGTTTTCCACCTGTGATTTTCTTTGTCAGCAAAGCTGAAAACTATTTATTTTCCCAGAAAAATCAAGCAGGAAAGCAAGAAGGTGGTTTGTTTGATCTGTCAGCCAGCTCCTGCTTTCATTCAGGCCACCCGAGGAGTGGACAGATTATCATCGGCAGGAAGCAGAGCAGCGGGATCGGTTCTCAACCTGCCGAGTTTAGGCCTCGAGATGTAGGCAAAGCTTTGCTTTCATCAAATACCTCGCAGAGAAAACCAATCCCAAAAGCTGCAGTCTGCCATAGCAGAACTGAAGAACGTATTAGTGCAAAATGGTAAAATTATAAGAAATAATGGCAGCAATTTTAAGATATAACCACAGTGTCTAGTAAGAATCATGTAGTTGCATGAGTATGAAGATGCTTTCACAGAGAAACTGAGTTCACGTCTCTAAAAGTTGCATTTTCATTTCAGGCTGAATTGAGACTCATCATCATCTCTGTAGCTGAACTTCACATGCCCGCAGCTCCCGACTCCAGTATGAGTCAACTTTAATGCCCAGAGAAATCCTGCAAGGTGACATCAAGTGCACGTGAACACAGCACGCTTACTTCAGCTGTCCCCGCCAGACTGTGAGGCTTTAAATCAAAGAAAACCACAAGCATCACACTCGCACAAACCCAAAACCCTGCCAGCACTCACAACTTCTCAAATCCAACTCATCCTTTCCTGCGAGCAAGGATGTGTTTGTACTGTAACACGGGCCAGATTTTTATTTGGAGGGAACCCATGTTGTTGTAGTTAAAAAATGAATGACACGTCTCATCAGCTTCATTTGTGATTAAGGTTGATTAGCTCGTTAGATTTTTCTACAGAAAAACATCATAAAAAGGTAAATTAACTTTTTGTGCAATCAGTCATTTTTGCAGTCATATCAGGTACCAGCATGCAGTTTGTACATGACACAATATTGGATGAGAACTCTTTTTGAAAGTGAACTTTTAGCTCTTTGTGCAGCTCATCATCTCATCTTCTGTCAGAAACGAGCTGTTTTCCTGTTTCTTCAAATCTCCCTCCCTCAGACTCTTTGGAAATCTACTTTGGGGTGGCCCTCCTGCCTTTACTCTGTGGGTGTGTCATGCTTGTAGCACGGCAGATTATATTACAAAATTCAGCACTTGTTATTCAGACAAGTCTATGCAATGTCCATGTGCTGTGCAAGCGTTGCATCATCTCAGTGCAACTTGCCTGTTTATTAAACTTAAAGTGTAATATCCATCCATCCATCCATTCGCTTCCGCTTATCCTTTTCAGGGTCGCAGGGGGCGCTGGAGCCTATCCCAGCTGTCATGTGACAGCTGAAGTGTAATAATGAAACCAAAATTGAGATTTTTTTTTTTTCGCAGTGAATAAATGTTTTTATTTTATTTATTATTTGTTTATTTTGAGTATCGCCATCACAAATTCCCCAACTTTCTGTGAATGGTCCTCATGGCCAGTGAGGACCAGCTGGTCTTTAACTTCCCTTAAAAACCAGCTGCAATGTAAATTTTTTCAGATAGCTAGACAAGTTCATCGGGAGTGCAATTTGTGGTTTTTGAGAATTAACACATTGGCAGTATCTGCCAATCTGACTTGGCTTTGACACCTGAAATCAAACTTTTCCTATCTCAGACACTAAACTAATGCAATGATGTTTTCAGATGTGCCATTTTTATCATTTCAAAACGGTTCCCCATTTCAAACTTAAAAGAGGCAACATTCCTCTCTGACGTCACACATACCTGTCCATTCATGTGCAATTTTAAGTCTTTCATTTGATTGCGGAGTGGACAATTTCCATATTAATGATCAAAAAAACTGACCTCACAGCCCTTTGTTCTTTAATTGGGCTGGTTTCAGTCATTCTGCAAATGTACTGTTTATAAGATTTGGGGAAACCTGCAGTCAGCTGAAACTGAAGAAGTCACTTGGATGAGCGACAAAACGTTTCTACTGAAAACGTCCAGATGAACAGAATCAACGTTTTAGGATTTACTTACCTGGATGATTGAGCGTGCGTCAAGAAAAAGATAATAATGAAAACCAAAAGGTACAAACTAATGGGAACCATCACTGAAAGTCAATGAAAGAATTAGGAATAAAATAAAATACTTTTTAATATAAAAAGTAGTCCAGTGAAATTAATAGAACCTAAAGGTTACTATGAAATAAGCAGAAATCATCCCTGTTTCTCAAAGGTTTTTTTAGCACGCTGCATTTTACACCTCATAAGTTCACATCTGAAATGCAAAATGTTCATTAACAATTACTAAAAGTTAAAAACAATTCTACTTAAATAAACTTCACTCACCAGTGTCGTCGGACTCCTGTGTTTATTTTTTCTGAAAAACAAAGAAACAAAAAAAATCATCTTAGTGTCATTTTTTTTTTTATATAATCTGCTTCAGGAGCATAGACTGTATATAAAAGACAACATAGCCACCAGGCTGTCACCCTTTGTGTGAGAAGGTAAACTACTATGAATTGCACAGGTACAAAGAACAGACAGGGACACCTGCAAATTAGTAACAGACCAATAAAATATGAGAATTTCACACATCAAAACTGAAGCACAAACATTTAGGATGGTGTGTATCACACAAACCAACCACAAAATCAGTCAGATTATCCATTAAAAGAGGTCCACAGATTAGTGAGCTGGCAGATACCAGTTGTCAGTCAAATACACCACGTCCCTACCTCCAGCATCAAGATCAGAGTGATTATGAAGAGGGAAACTATCGAAAAACTGTTTTTTGTAACATGCTTTGTCTAAATGTCTCTGGGGTTTGACTCACTTTTGGGGCCAGCCTCAAGTGGCCACTAGAGGAACTGCAGTTTCTGGTAGGTTCAGGTCTAATTGCTGCTGCTTGTTCAGGAGCTACACAGCTAACCGTCTGGAAAGCAATTCAGACAAGTGTGCTGGATTAAGGCTCACTAATTAGCATGATTTTCTTTCAGTTTTTATAGTCAGTTAATATAATTTTATTAGTGGGATACAACCTTTTCCCAGGTGTAAATGAGTACCGCCCTCTAAATACCACCTCATCTCTTAGAGAATTTAGCAGGTGGATGTCCTTTCCAGCCACTGTGTGGATTAACAGCACCAGCTGCAAAGTGCTGAATGTGAATGCAGTCCCGCTGAGGAGGCAGCTAGCTCGACAGAGATATCAATATGGACACCTGTGGGCCCTCCTGTTGCCATGACCACCAGCAACAGCTGCAGCAGAGTCGCTCTATCGTCACCGGCGGCCGGTGGGGGAATCAGCACTTCCTAAACAAATTAGTCTGAGGAAAACTGCTGAGGCCCGAACCCTTTAATTACATCAACCCCAAACCAAATTATACGCAGACTCTGTAATAACTAATGCACATCAAACAAGCCCTCCTCCTCTTCCTCCTATCCCACTCAATCTTATGTGTGGAACATTTATATCGAGGTGTTCATTCCCAGAGGAGAGACGCAGAGAAATGTCAAGACAAAGGAGACATGGCTTCTCCTCCCTCCCTGGCCTTTTCGCTTCTCGTTCTATCACTCTCTCCATTCTTTTCGCTCCCCTTCCCCATTCATTCTCCGTCTCCTTCTCCCTTTATCCTGTCATCTACATTGTGGGGAGCGTCTTTCGCTCCTTCGAGCTTTGGCTGTGTAAGCAGAGCTGGCGAGATGAGAAGAAGCAGCGCTGTACTCTGAATAGTGAAGCACAATAGGCGATGAGGTTTTGCAAGGAGAGAATTAAAATTCTGCCACCGGTGGAGCAAAATAAGATGCCGCGTGTGTGTCTGTGAGGGGAGGGGTTTAAAATGAAATGAAATGTGTTTTTGATAGAAGAACTTCACTCTCTTGGAAAGAGAGCTTTCAAAAGTAAACAAACACAAGCTTTACAGAGAATTTAGAAGAAAAGAAAATGAGCTAAAGCAGACCAGACACATTTAAGTCCTTTTTCTCATTGTTCTTTCTTAAACAGCTAAATGTGATCTTAAGAAAAGTGCAAGACAGAAAGGAGGGGAAAAAATCTTTCATCTTTCAGGCCACACTTCATCCATGCTCTCGTGGAGAGCACCAGCTATAAAAAGGCCATTCATAAAAAGGCAGGTAAATACCATCAATCATGGATGCATGCAAATTAAGGTCAATGAGCTCCTCGTATAATGCAAACATCACACTGAGCTCTTACTACTGGGAGCAGAATATTAATAAGTACATGTACAGTGTACACAGGAAAACCTGCTCACCAAGGATAATAAGGTCTTTAAGGGATGTTAAGATAATAAAACATGTGGCACCTTCAGGTGACTGCCCAACGTTAAAAACAGTACATCCTACTATAATGGTTAAGTGGACATGTTGTTATGTAGCGCTTTTCAACTCTACCTGAGCACTCAAAGAACTTTGTACAACATGCCACATTCATCCATTCATCCAAGCACTTTTTTCTGTGTTTAAGTTCTTTTTATCTAACATTTACAAACATTCAGATTGGGGTTGATTTGTTGCCCAAAAATTATTGGCATGGAGACTGGAGGGAGCTCGAACAAATAACCTTCCGATTAGTAGACGAGTTATTCTACTTCCATATAATCATATCATATCATCATTGTAGTATATGTACGTATGAATATTTGTGTGTCTGTACCTTATGTCCTCCTTAATTTGTGGGAAAACTTGCACAAACATTGTCGTAAATACAGAGATTGATACAGTGAAAAACACTATAAATCTCTCTTATTTTATTTTCTCTTTTTAGGACAACTCTATAGAGTTGTTGTTTTTTGGTTTGTTTTTAATAGCTTATCCATTCCAATACTGGAGTTGTTGCTTGGCTGCTTTCAATGACTAGTCTCCCGACCACAGATAGTATAAAGGTCTTTAAAGTGAAGCTACCAGGGGCCAATAACTGTGGTTGCAAAAGGACTTCGGCCCTATAGATGTTTGTGAGAAAATGGTCCACAACCTCTATGTCAGTAAACTCTTTCCTTATTAGTCCATGGTGTCAGTCACCAGGATATACTCCTTATCTAATCGCCTCTCATCAAAAAGTGGTAACATCCCTTTTTTTATACTACCTGTGATTCCACTGGAGGCTGTTTTTGGCTGGAATTCTAGTATTTTATGCATCTGTTGCTTAGCTAACTAGGAGATATGTACATGGCAGCAGTGAAACTGCAAAACATGTTTAACTGATGTGTGGTGTAGAGGTGTGGACATCCATATATATTTACACAATGCTGATTCAACCAATAAAAAAGACAAAGTAAAGCACCAAATTCTCTGTTTTAAGTATATTGCAACTTTATTTCAACCGAGATTTTTCAATACTGTGCGATTATAACTTCACTGATTATGCTAACTTTGCAAACTCCACCTGTGTTATAAAGATTTGAACGTTGACATTCTGTCAGAGCAAGCAAGGCAGGAAGTGCTTGTGCAGTGGACTTTAAATAAATAGGCCTAAATTAAGTGAAAGAAATCTTCTTTCATCTCAAACAGTATTCTGTCATAAAGCTTCTCTCATCCCTCATCCTCTTATTGCATCTATCCTTTAGATCTCTGCCATCTTGTGATTGCAGTTGGATATTGTTTCTGGACTTGTCTGTCTCCATCTCCTATTAATAAAGCTTGATTGCACATGTGAAGTGTGGACAAACCTCTGGTCTGTGACGGGAGACTGTCGGAGATTAGCATGCTAGCTAAGCCACTGCTGGCTCTGCTTTCACTGCTCTCAGATCAGTTACCTTCTGTGCTTTGTGTGAAACAAAGCTAGCATTGGCAAGTAAACAACTGCTTTCATTTATCGTTGTAACAAATGAGCATTCTCTCACTGACCACCTCGGCCAACTTGTATGACGTAACCAACTTAATAACTTGTTTGATTAGCAGCTGTGAAACCACTTGGTTGGCCAAAATGTACAAAGTTTAAGTTAACATGGTTGTTGTTGTTTTTTCTTTTTAAATAAAGTTATCTGTGTTTCTGAGCTCTCATTGCCTTTCTGTAAACGGTACCACATGCCTCTGAATTGGTTGTCACAAAAAGGTTCCAAAAACTCTTTCTAGAAAGCTGGTTTTTACATGTGTATATTTGCCATTCTGACAGATCCAAAGTAAATACATATATTAGCTGCCTGGGATGGCCATTTTGCTGCCTGCATATGAGGTCACCATCTGGGGATACTTCCAAGCAGAGGTGGTAAATGCAAAGTTAGCATGAGCCACAAGAGCCATTTAATGGGAACTACGTCATAGTGTTTATCTTGAAAACATTACGGCAACATGCAGGCACTAAGGCAATTAATTACTGAATTATACCATGCTGTTGCACAATGAATGCAATAAGCCCTCTGGGCTTTTTTCTCATTACCAGGTACACACTGTCCTACACGGGCGAAGCAGGGGAGGCTTTTAATAACATTTAGTATTCAGATTAAACCGTTGTACGCAGCCAAAGCTATGGCTTCCAGGGTTTTGGCTCCAAAGTAGGATCAATTTACAATCCAATTAATTCAAATTGTGTGGAAACATGCTCACAAGGAGGAAAACAATCGGCTGTCCCATTAAGGCAAAGACAAATGAGGGTTTGGAGCCGAAAGAGAAGAGACACCTGATGCGCTTGACATGCCTGCTTTCATTGTTTGGTTTACTTCCAATACAACAGGCTTTTAAAATAATATATGCATAGTAGGAGTACTTTTTTCCTTTTTACCTAAAAGCCACTGATGGGCTCCAGTTGGATTTGATCTGGATTTGAAGTGCGCTTCAAACACAGTGTTCAATTTGTCTGTTAAAAAAAGAATAATTTATTACAGCTCATCAAAGACTTGCAGCAAATAAACCACGATGTTTCCCAGAAAGTGCAAATGATACACATCTCTCACAGCAGCAAGAGCAACGCTGTCTGAATGTTTAAAAGCTGTACAAAAAAAAAAAAAAAAGACTAGAATATAGATCCACTGCCTTCAAAGCAGCTGGTCGATCATCTTTAGCCACTCTTTCCTGCTCTTTAAATGACTTGTCATCCTGTCTTTCAAACCTACTGTTGAGCCACGCACAGCTGCAGATCACCAGCATGACCTTTAGAAAGATTCAGGGAAATTCATTAACGAACCTTTGATTAAGTCGTTTCACGCTGGCAGAGTTTTTCCTTGATGGGAACCTAAATAAATAATATACCACTTCCAGCTGATGTGTCCTTATTAAGCTCAAAATAACACCAACATAGATAACTCAATAAGTGATTTGTGAGCAGATCATCTTAAACTGGTTTCTTGAACATGATAACACTGTTCTCAAATGGCCTCCACAGTTACCAGATCTCAATCCAATAGAGCCGCTTTGGAATGTGGTGCA